AATTCGCATTCGAGGGCGTCAGAGCGCGACACCGTCGGCTGTGACGTCACCATGGGACCTCTAGACTTGAAAGCGTCAAAAAACGCAGAGCCTAAAACTGGGTTAAGTGAAAGGCATTTTCACAATACTGGTGACTTAGATATTTGTACTGGAGAGTGATTTTAAAGTGACAAAGCGAAATAAGAAAGTGAAAATTGTGTTGGGGTTAGTCGCTTCGGACCTCTGGAGTAGTTCCAATAGCGCCCACCACGAGCAGATAGAGCGCGCTGAGCTTTGCCTTCGAATGCGAATCGCCACACTGTAAAAAATTAGTTCGTAAATTTACAAACAATTTATGGGTAATTTCGTTGCACAAATTATCTGTAAATTTACAACGTTTTTTTGTTTCTTGACGGTTTATGAATTATTGTTCACGCAGTAGTTTGTAAAATCACAAACTTTTTACACGCTCCAAATTACGTGGACTGCTTTTGTTCTACCTTGTCACGCTGATTAAATAGAGATTAAGTAATTTCAGCGTTTTTGTTTTGTTTTATGAAACATCTTGTAAAATGATGACGGCATCACCATATTTCGTAATTTTACAAGCGATTTGTGCAACAGAATTACCCAAGCATTTGTTGTAATTTTAGGAAACTTTTCATATTTTTTTGACATTGCTGTAGTATTATAGTCACGTTTAAGATGTATTTCGTTCCAACCCAGGGGAGAAGGGGGGGGGGGGTACTTCAAGTTGGGTAGGTCAAGTTGAGTGCGGGGGACAGCCAAACCGTCCTGGAACAGCGTATTTACGAAGTTTGTGCAAGTTACTGAAGCGCATCTCTCCACACTCTGTCAATTATTGTCCAAACGAGGCGAAACACCCCCACCAAATTTTGCACACTTTTTAGGCACATTATAAGCCACAAAATACTCTGTTTTCAAGTTTTTCAAAATTGGTAATCACAAAAAATTTTAGCGTTCAAAATTTGAACATTTAACAAAAAAATTCGAAAAAATTCAAATCCAAAAACTGATGACAGTTTTGGATTCCTCGTTTCATTCTGAGCATTTTGAAAAAAAAAATTTTGCTCTAGCTCAAAAATTGCGGAAGATAGGCTTGTTTCCGCAAAACACTACACCAAAATGGTCAAAAAACCAAAAATAACGCCAAAAATGCAAAAATGAAAATTTTCCAAAACCATTTTAGGGGAGTGTTATAGACACTTTTTGTGACCTCTGTGCAAAATTTCATCAAAATCGGAGACATTGATTCCATCTCTGGGTTGAGTTGACATGGAATGACCCAACAGTTATTCCTTTGTGCGCGGTGCGGTTGTGGTTAGAACGACTTTCAAAAGTACGCACCGCAATCAAAAAGATACAAATTTACGGGATGTTCTTGCCTCTCTGCAGCAGGCATTGCATTGACTCGAGGCTTGATAAATCTTGAAATGCTGGTTAATCTAAAGGTCTAGTGAGGTTTTTGGGGAGGTCCCCCACCACACCCGTCGCAGCGTCCTGCGGCCATGTAGTTCCGAGTGTGTCCGCTAGAGCGCGCCTCGGGCCCACGCGATGCTCACCTGTTGTGCAGATGACAGTCGGCGCACTTTGGCGCGCACTGTGCTTGTGGCGTCGGATCCTTACTTCTATTTATTTTTCTGTTAACTATAGTAAATTCATTTCTCCAAAGAAAAGAAACCACGCACGAAGATGTTCAGTTCTCAGGTGCACCAATAAGAAGAATACTTCAAAGCCTGGTGCAAGCTTATTTCGTGTTTCAATCCAAATCAGAAAGTGCCGGTGTAAGTTAACCTACAATATTCTGTTACTTTGAAACTCTTATTGTCAAAGTGCTTATTTTGTTCGTCATCTGATTTTATGCTTGAGAAATAGGCTCTTTGCGGAAACCTTGACCCACTGGAGTTGCCCAAGATTCTGGAACGATAACCTGCACCACTGTGCAATTACATGTGGAACAAGAACTGACTCCTGTGCTTCAGAGTCAAATTAAGTGAATTTCCTGCGACAGAGCAAAGTAAGCATGACACCTTGGAATCAGTGCTAATTGAATTTCTTTCAGTCATTTTGGCTTATTTTTTAATCAAGGGGTGTTACAGTTATGGTTGCTGTGTTTTCTTTTCAGTCCAACTGAGATTCCTCTTTTAAATATTTTGTTTTTGAGTCCTGTCCACCATTTTTGTCTCTATATTTTTTGTTGTTCATGACAAGTCCTATCGTTTGATTTTTAATTTAAAAAGGTCAGTGAATAAATACATTTTTCCTAACAGTTTATCTGTGTCATGTTCACATTCCTATACGCATTCACATTCATATCCGGAACAGTGGCGCACCCTAGCGGCAGGCCATCGAACTACGACACAGGTGCGCGCTCTATCGGTCACCTTCGGAACTACATGGCCGCAGGGCGCTGCGACGGGTGGTGGGGGACCTCCGAAAGACCTCTCACAGACCTACCGTTTCCGACGTCCCGAAGTGCTCCCGAAAGAGACGTCCTGAAATGTAGCACGGCAGTACTTCTTTCGGATGCCTTTTTTGTTTCATAAGGTACTCCTTCCGTACTACATTTTCGGATGTACAGAGCTCCGAAATGGTAGTACGACAGTACTACTTTTGATAGTAGTTTTGTTTACGGGGTAGAATGTATGTAGTGACTTGGTGCTTTGATAATGCGCATCAAATGGGCATTGCAGACGCGATGCAGCCCAATGCTAGAATAATGCACATGTACTGTGCACTGGCACATTTAATGTGCATTGGCGCTTTTGGGGGTCTCCGAACTTTTGCCATAGAGGTGACGGTATGGCTCTTATTTTATGGAGGTGGGCTGGGCTCTGCTCTATACACGCACCTTTGTTGCCCAGGGCATTTTTCGGAATGTTTGTTGGTTTTCATTATTTTTCCTTCCGTTTATCACTTTGATCAATTTTGGTGCAAATTTTCGACCCACACTTCGCCTTAACTTCACAATTTGTGGTTGAAGTAGACAATGAAACAGCCGGCTTTCCAGCTAGCCCATTTGCTTGAAATTGGTTGACTGAAAAAAGAGACAAGTCTGTGTTACACTCTCCATTCGACAACAAAAATAAAATAATCATCTTAGTTTAAACACATAAAAGCCTGCCCTACTCGTTGCTGCACCAGTGCTATACATACCGTCAGAACTTGCAGGAAAACATACTGCTTCTCCCAGAAATGCCACATGACCAGTGGAAAGATGGCACTGTGCCACCTTCATCCAATCGCAGAAAGCTTTCTGAGCCAGTAAGTCACAAATGTGCTTCAGGACACTCCTCCTTCTGTCAGGAGCGCTGAGGCAGAGGATGTTCATTAATTTAAATGTATCACTGGCCTTCGCCCCTAATTCAGGCATCCAGACATTGACTACGTCTTTGCCGAGCAAAGTACTAGCATGTCCAAAGAAGTACTTCGGCTCTTTCAGGTGAGGCCACCTACCAAGCACATTTCGCATTTAGGAAATAGGCCTGAAATTAAATTAGTCCACCCGCTGGAGTTGGGTTTGTGGCTGACATCACATTCTTGATAAGCGCTTCTGAATGCATAGTAAGAAGCCTTTGCCGTCTGTATTCTTGAGATGCAGTTGTTTCATTTGGTGGAAGAGGTGGGTTAACCGTGTTTCCAAGAGATTTAAACATGATAAGCTTTCTTATTGTAAAAGAAAATTCAACGGGAAAAATCCGTACTTTATGGGAGTGCGATTTTTTAATAGACCCCCTGAACGCATTAAATGCGAAGTTGTGAATAAAGTGAAAGTTAAAAGGTAGATTCCTCGTTGAGAGAGAGAGAGACTTCTTTTCTGTTCAGGAATTCCTAAACCATAAAAGGAAATAAGTGTACGTTGTAAAGAGTAACTGTGTAAATGCCGTTCATATTTATATCTGAAGCAATGACATTTGCATGCTCTGTCTGTGACTACAACAAACCGTTGAATAAAGATACTTTACCTTTCTTTACTAATTATAGTTCCGATGTCCGGCAAAGGAGCCTGCTGAAGGCACACTGCAGGAAATAACCACAACTAAAAGACACAAATTTCTGGCAAATTTTTTATCGGGAATTTAGTGTACTTTTTGGCCCGTCCCGTTAATTTTTTGTAAAAAAATGACGAAGGGACGGGCATATAGTATGATGCATGCTGTGCGTCCGTTTGTCCGTCCGTCCGTTCGTCCGAGGACTTCCCGTGGTCCGATCTTGACCAAATTTGGTATGCAGCCTCCTTGGGTGATCCTAAGAACCGCCCGGTGGCAGCAAATCCGATCCGAGCCCCGGGGGCGCTGCTGCAGGTGCATCATGGTCTACATGGGGTCGAGGAGGATCTCGGCAACGGATGCAGCTAGGAGGGCATGTAGGGAGATTTTTGGAATCGGGGCGACGAGAAAAAACCAATGGTGCCAGTTTCGAGCGAATCGGAGAAGTTCGGACCCGGGTTCAAAATCCCAGCGGGGTATTTTTTGAACATTCTTTTTATTCGAGTTTTTGCATTGTTTCTGATGTTTTTGAGGGTGCTGATGACGAAAAAGACATTTATTTTGACCCCAGACTCGGGTTCAAATCCCGACGGGGTTTAAAATAGGCGAAGTTCGCACATTTCTAAATGTACGGGACGGGCCAAAGTTGCCGATGTGTATCGCTACTTTTCCTGTTATTAAGTAAAACAATTGTTGAACAAAGTACAGTGGAACCGGCATGAGGAGTGCTGTGCAGTCCAGGGCTCGTTGTGGTTTGTACAATTCTCGTTGTACTTTCTACAATCCCTGTTGTGCTTTTATTGTACAGTTTCTGTTGTACTTTTGTTGTACTATCCACACTTTTTCTTGCAGTGCAGGCCATGGCTGGAGGCCAACGTAGGTGTGAACGTCAGGAGTGAAGTCGGAATTTGTGCAGCATGACGAAGTCTGTTACGAGAAGCCACAGCCTGGCGTACACCTACTTTGTTAGGTCTTCAACTCCCATTCGCTCAGAATGAAAACCAATTCAGCATCAAATATATTTCAAGAGAGTTTTAACAATAGGCCTTATAAGAGTTTCACCAACGTCGTCAGCGAGAACGAAGTCAACATGGTTGTAGGGTAAAATGTGGACTTCCTTTACAGAGGGAAAGGTGTCCACAAATTTCTGGGCATCCTGTAACAAACAAACAAAGAAATGAAATTGTCAACGTGTGAACAGTCAACGAAGGTCACATCTCATTCGTTTGCACGCTGAAAGTCTGATGTCAGTTTAAACGTGACGAACAGTGAAAATTTACAGACTAGCGAATGTGACAGCAATGCTTTGTCACATCACTTCAGGCTTGACACGAAATCAAGAGACGAACTGTCACATTAAGGATGCTACAAAGTAAAATTAGCATGATCTGAAATTAGTCTCAGGAAGTTCATTTTGTGGTCTAAATTCAATCACTATTAGGTGAATTTATTCCCCCCGTTGGGGTCCCAACTCTTATTAGTTTCCTAGTTATGGAGGTCTCCACAATCTATTAGACGTGTCTCTTAAATTCTCGCGACAGAGGAGTAGTTACCTAGTCCGCAGATTCTTGCAAAATATATACACACCGTTAGAAATTAGCTTCGAAATTTTATGGAGAAAAACACTATAATCACGTTCATGGAGACTCCGTTCAGTTTCCATCTGTTTCCAAAGAGATTTTCTCAGGGCTTCAACAAATGTTTTTCGGAGCATTACTTGGGTCCTGATGGGAGGTAAACTGCATGTCTTTTCCCAGATTTGGTAGAGAGGGTTTCGCCGAAGCATTTTTCAGTCTTAAATGGCTAAAGAAGGGACAATCTCCTTCGAACTTATTTGATTTATATCCTGTAGATTTCCCTATTATGAAAACTGAGGTAAATGAGTAGGCGGTCACCTTTCCGTGGGGAAGGGTTTTTTTTTTCTGGTTGCAAGCCTTTTTTCGTGATTTCCGGAAAGTAAAGCATGCATTTTTCCTCAAAATTCCGAAACTTTTCGAAGAAAGCTTAAAGTTTGCTTTTATAAAGAGCTCCATGCAGAATTTTTTTTTTAGAAATTAAGGTTATAGAAGCTATTTTACCAGGCCCATTTTTGTTCATCTTAAATTTGAGAGATTTTGCCTCTTATTGGTCTTGTTTTCGTTTTTAGGGGTTCCCAAGAACCCCTATTGTCCGAGGTCCGTGGATTCTTCCCCCCCCCCTCTCCGATTTTCAAATAAACAACTCTAAACTATTTCAACCATGAAAAAAACGAAAATTCTAATTTTTTTCGAAAATTCATCGTGGAAATTTTCCGTAAACGCGAAAAACATAAATTTGCAACAATCGAAAACGAGAACCGTTAATGATATGAAAAAATGGTTCAAATAAAAAATGTGCCACTCCTCAAAACTAAACCTCCTGGCTCATCAAAGTAACAAGAAATCATATATGTTCTGAGCAAATGGTCAAAACATGAAAAAAAAATCTCCATGGCAACGGCATGGTCCCATCGTACCACCCGTCAAAATTTGAAGTCGCCCATTAAAAAAAAATCTAAACGCCGTGAAATTCGAAAATGCTAATGCTAACACATTGCACGGTGTCTCAACGTTGGAACATCTTTAAAGTCTGTCACTACTAAAAAGTTCGTAGCAGAAACGACACATCAAATTAATTTTCGTGGGTTGGCACCAATATGCTTGCCGTCTGCGCCCTTTCGAAAATCGCGAGGCTGAAAGAACGAACAGGCGCCCATTGAAACTGCCCCTCCATTGTTGCTGAGGTTGGATTGTTTGGCATGCTCTCAAAGGCTGCGGTTGTCTTGTCATGTTTTCCTCGATTTTCAACCAGTTATGGAAACGGGAACACCGTGCAATGCGATTAGCATTGGAATTTTGTAAGCTTTTAACGTGGCCATCACTGGGCGCGTTACCGTAATATTTGTGTAAAGTGAAAAACCTAAAAGTGCTACTATTCCTATACGGTTTAATGATTTTCAAAACCCTTCGGTTTTGGTGTTCAGGATGTTGATCCCTTCCATTAAACAGCGGAAAAAAAAGGATCGAAGATAGCCCGTAGCAGACAAAACCCATTTGCTGCTGAACCCATTTAAATGGGCACTTTTCATGCACCCATTTAATTGGGTCCAGCCCATGTTATGGGTATATGAAAAGTACCCATTTAAATGGGTTGCACTCATAATGGGTCTGACCCATCCGAGGACCCATCGCAAAGTGTTCAAACTCAGACTAGACATTGTTTAGTTTTACAAAGAAGGTCAGTCTGATCAAAATGGACGTCTCAAACCAAACTTTCGACGCTGAACACTTTGGTGGTGTCGGATTTGGCCTATCTGCAGTAGTTTAGAAGTTACCCTTAACAGGTGTGCAGCGGGTTTGCCTACCTAATTGCACCACCTTTTTGCCTACCTCGCAGGCGATCCTTGACCGAACCCAAAAAGCTGCGTCTCAATGGGTCCTAACCCATCTCCAACGGGTCTCAACTCAACCTATCCGCAATGGGTCACGACCCATTCCCGATTGGTCTTAACCCATTGCCAAATGGGTTTTGTCTGCTCTGGGAGGTCATTTGAAGGGATGGTGGTCTAACGCTAAACGGCCCGGCTGCTACTAATGTTTATTGAGTTTGTCGCTATCTTAATATTGCACGGTTCTACTTCCAGTAAAAATCAACCATGAGACAAGGGGTAATGGACTCGCAACGGAGCTGGCCGGAATCTCTGCCTTGCGAATTGTAGTTCACTATTTCTCCGATTAAATGTGCGATTTTTGAGATGGCTCGGGCATTTTCGGAAAGGAGACACCTTACAGTATGCCCAAAATTCAAAAAAGGTTTAATTTTCCCACCAGGACTCGAACAGGAACAGCTTGCGTGAAACTACGCGAAATAGCGTGGAAAACCGAGAAATAACGTTGAAATACCCATGACATAACGTTGAAATAACATGAATTTGAAATAACGGTGTACAAATTTGGACGAATTTGTTTGCCCCTCGTGCAGACGTTTACTCGTACTTTCTTGATCATTCCGGGAGGATGGAAAGGAAACTTACCACGGGACTGACGAGACCATCTGATGTTCCATAGTAAACATGCATAGGAGTCGTGATGGCACTCAAGTTGTAAGCAGGAGAATGGGGAGACCCGTACAGCTTCAGGTTCTTTTCGGAACCAAAGTCATATTTCTTAAAGACACCTGCATGACAGAATGAGCCCAGGTAAGAGCGTAATAGTCGGTACACAGGTTCAGAGAGCGCATACCCCCTCGGACCAAACCTTGGCGAGACTTTTATGTCTCGCCTCTGGAGTGGCGAGAAGTCTGACCTTTGGATTTGTAGTGTGCTTGGCATATGCGCGCTAATTGACGTAAAATTTTATTTAAGGAGCGTTCATATTGGTATGCATAAATGCATGATCGGGTTAAGAGGGATGCCATGCAGCCTTCCTTGAAACGTCAAAACGCTGCGAGACCCACGGTCAGCCGGTGGCAACTCCCCTTGTCGGGCTGAAACCAGGCTCGGAAGCGGAGCGGCTCCGTTTTCCAACTTTTAAGCTAGCAAAGCTAATCGAAGCTATATGATTGCCACATAACGAGTACATCAGGGCAACGTAAAATTTCACGTAGATTACGATTCTGTACTTACATTTGCAAAACGACGAAGGATTGCGGAAATAATAACGGATTATGTTCATATTGCGGCGTCAGCTCGCCCGTATCAGCTCGTCTCATATTTGCCGATTGTTAATGTAAACAAACTAAAGCAGCTAGAAAGAAACGGTCACTTGCAATCGAAAGATCACACTTTTTTCCTTGGTATTTTCACTATTGCAAAGCTCGAACGCCGACTGAAACAAGTATTTCAACAAAGAAACAAAACCTGTTCCGGAATTGAGGTTATGTCGGTTTAAATCATTCCCTGTCGTTTCTTTACGGAAATACTTGTTTCAGTCAGCGTTCGAGCTTTGCAATAAGTGAAAATACCAAGGAAAAAAGTGTGATCTTTCGATTGCAAGTAACCGTTTTCTTCAAGCTGCTTTAGTTTGTTTACATTAACATTCGGCAAATATGAGACGAGCTGATACGGGCGAGCTGACGCCGCAATATAAACATAATCCGTTATTATTTCCGCTATCCTTCGTCGTTTTGCAAATGTAAGTACAGAATCGTAATCTACGTGAAATTTTACGTTGCCCTGATGTTCTTGTTATGTGGCAATCAAATATCTTCTATTAGCTTTGCTCGTTTAAAAGTTGGAAAACGGAGCCGTTCCGCTTCCGAGCCTGGTTTCAGCCGGACAAGGGGAGTTGCCACCGGCTGCCACGGTACAGCGTCAAGTGCTACGCTACTCTCTCTGAACTGGCGTGTGTATACTTGGATTTCCGTACTAGAAAAAATGCATCTGAATGTGAATATCGGCATACAGGACATGAGCCCAGTCCCGTTTGAGCCCCGATGGTCTGAGCCCCGCCCTGAGCCCTAACCTGAGCCCGGGTTGAGCCCCGACCCAAGCCCCAATTTTCAGAGCTCGGATTGAGCCCCTACCTGAGCCCCGTTTGAGCCCCACTTGAGCCCCTTGGCAATAAATCATGCAAAAATGCGTGATTTCAGATCGCGGGGCTCAAATGGGGCTCAGGTCGGGGCTCAATCCGGGCTCTGAAAATTGGGGCTTGGGTCGGGGCTCAAGTCGGGGCTCAGGGCGGGGCTCAGGTCGGGGCTCAGACCATCGGGGCTCAAACGGGACGGGGCTCATGTCCTGTATGCCTGAACATCTTGTAGTATTACCTGACTCTACAACCTGCAGGTAGTGCAGAACTTGTCGTATGGAGGCTCCTCCGGGAAAATGCGCAAGCATTTTCAGCGCGTAGTCCTGAAATGAACATGAATACACTGCAGAGCTTCAGGCTCTGCTTCAACTTCAAAAAATTGGCGTGAATTTTAGACTTTTCTGTCATGCCCTTTTTTGGCGTGACACTGTATTCACGCCCCTAAGACGTCACGAAGTCACGCCGATAAACTTTCAGTGAAGAAACACGTGCTATGTGGTAACTTTGACAACGCCAGTTTGGGCTTGGGCCCGGGACATCACGATGAAACGAATGTGACCAAGTGTCACGTTCCTTTGAGCGTTGTGTCCCATTCTGTTAGATGTGAAACGGCCATAAATTGACGAATGCGAAACTATGCCCAAAAGAACGTGATGCTTTTTGTTACATTCGTTTAAACGTGATGTCTGGACTCTAACGATTTTCTAAAAGTCCCAGTTCTCTTACATTGTCCATTCTCTTCTGCGGCTTCCCCATTAATAGGTGTATGGCAGCTCTACACATGTCGCTGAACTTGTTATTAGACTGAGAAAAACAGTACGGAATCATGCACTGTTCCGTAAAAGGCAACTTGTCGTTCACTACATTGCGACCAATGGAATTCTGAAACGTGAAAAAAGACAATGTATTAAAATCACGAAAGTTCGAAATCTATTATAAGAAACAAGTGCGGTAATTATTGTACAAGAAGACTTTACTTAATGTTTAACATATGTGGAAAAGCAAAAGAAAGGCTCGGTTGCTTGGGCTTAATTGTGCTAGCGTGGGATGAACGTCCACACGAGACGGCATGGATCGAAATGTCCTCCGACGGACAGTCTGATGTCTGGAAATTTCCAGATGACCGTGTAGCAGTGTACGAATACTCCTGGCATTGCCTACCTTTAATTGAGGAAGCACTTGAAAGAATCTGCGCACAGTTGCCAGAACAGCAGGAGGGGTTGAGAAAAACACAGGCGGGGCAAGAACCACGCTGCATATTATTTTATCGGCATATGAAGGCCTCTCCGACATTAAAACCACCTGCACTCGTAGTGTTTGTTTGTAATACTTTGTTGATCAAATTACCATCACGTACACGGTCAAAACGGTGCCTGGTTTTCCAAAGAAGCCAATAGTAGAGACATAGGCGATTTCCAGGGGGTTCCCGGGAAAACCAGAAACCGTTTTTACCGTGTATACTTTTGATTTTGGATTCGAGCCCTTACCTGCGCTGTTACGCCCATGGAGTGGCCGATGGTCATGAGTTTGTCGCGTCCCGTAGTTTCCAATACGTAATCAATGATCGAAGGCAGGTCGATGAGACCATTCTCGTTCCAACTGCACACAGAGAGAGTCGCTGTTGACTTGGACCTTACCGGGCTCCGAAGCACAGTGCCACAACAGATGGGTGAATCACTACACATCATCTCTCTACAAATCGAAGAGCGTACATTGTATGCTCTAACTGGAGCATGCCTGCAAGCACGCTCTAGTTAGCGCATGCCTGCCAAGCATGCACTTACTAGTGCATACATGCCATGTACACGCTGACTGAAGCATGCATCTAATGCATTAGGGATGGGGAGTTGCATGCTTCAGTTACATGGCATGAATGAATGCACTCTTAAGTGCATGCTTGGCAGGCATGCTGCAGGCATGCTCCAGTTAGAGCATACAATGTACGCTCTTTGATTTGTAGAGCATGCACGGTTTCCATAATTTAAAACGTTCGTTTCTTGTGATATCACTGTCATTCCAAGTACGTGACATTACGTTGAAACGAACGTGACAAAATGTCACGTTTGTTTGAACGTGAACAAACTAATTTTTGGCCGATTCACATCCATACGAATGTGACACTTTGTTTCAACGTGACATCACGTACTTGCAATGAGAGTGTATTGCTCTGTTACTAACTGCCCCATCCACATCTGTTACAAACTGCCCAAGAGAGCACCATTCCACTTGTGCTGCTCCCCGCCGGGCTTGGTGAGGGCTGCGTCAGTGTCTGAGAGTGCGTTACGTTTGCCCAATATGGCACTAAAACATGAATTAAGTGCAGGGGATGATCGCTTACTAGCGAAACCCAGACGGGTGATTCTACAGAAATGCTACAATTTGATGATTTGATGATACAATTAGAACTCCTTTGTGACGAAACGGTTCGTCCGAGAAATACGTGGTTTGCGCGATGAGATGATTCTTTTTGTGCTTCGAAATGATCCACTATTATTGGGTATGGTTTTCAGATGGTTGTGCACGGAAAAAAATGGATTTGCTAGCCCAGCTCAAAATTAGCTGAGGCAGCTAATGTATTGGCTGGTATGGCGCCACCGGAGATTTTAGGTGGCACAGCCAAACTACAGCTGCACTAGCTATTTTGTTAGGTGTTACAACTTTTGAATATTGGCATACGCAGCATGCATATTAGTTGAGGCAGCTAATATTTTTGCCTTCCTTCGGTGAAAATTTGCTACACCATTAAATGGGTCAGCTGTTTGGACTAACATGGGCCAAAATGTCGCACAAAAAAAAAGTTCAGGCAAAGAGGACGCGAACCCTTGTCCCTTGATTTACGAGATGAGGACGGTACCACGGCGCTGCGATGACATCTAGCAATGTGACCAGGGGCATTTTCCTCATAGTCTCAACAGCGCGAGGGAACGAACGTTGCCCGTCGCAAAGTGCTAAATGCGTGGCTGGTGCCGCCATTTTCCTAGTGACGTGGTGGCGCGGTGGTACCGTCCCCGTCTCTTGAACCGCGAGACTGGAGTTCGCATCCCCTTTTCCTGAACGTTTTTTTGTGCGACTTTTTGGCCCATGTTAGTCCAAACAGCTGACCCATTTATTGGTGTAGCAAATTTTCACAGTAGGAAGGCAAAAATATTAGCTGCCTCAACTAATATGCATGCTGCGTATGCCAATATTCAAAAGTTGTAACACCTAACAAAATAGCTAGTGCAGCTGTAGTTTGGCTGTGCCACCTAAAATCTCCGGTGGCGCCATACCAGCCAATACATTAGCTGCCTCAGCTAATTTTGAGCTGGGCTAGCAAATCCATTTTTTTCCGTGTGGCCTACGGAAGGTGCAAAATGTAAACTCCGTAGCTGTCCCGATGCATAGTTCACAAAGTTTGCGCCTCTCGTGTCTCTCAACGAGACACATGACTATCTTTCCCGAGGGCTCTATTTGCTGAGGCACTTTCATACTTAAACTTGATCTCGCTGACTCTCATAAAAAGTTTGAAGCTTTGTGCCTGCACAGAATTAACTTTTGTCCCGACGTTTTTACTTCCCAATAATCCACGTGTACACTGTAACGAGTTTGGCACTCCAGGAGACAAAAGGAGCCTCAATCTGAGGGCTGCAATGGATTCCGGATGGAAAAGCAATTCCCCCCCCCCTCTCCCCCTAGGAAGGACTTCGTTGACGCGCACCCAAATCTACAACTTTAGTTATCATTTCACGGGTAATGTTTAGCAGTATTCTAAAAGAATAATTCTAGAAAATCTCCTTTCCGTATGCTTTTTGCAAACGGGTCACCTCGGTTTATCCCTCTGGCGACACCCGTGCCGTGTCACCACGGGTTATCACCCTGGTGACATCCGTAACCCCTATAAGCGAGACAAGTGCGTCCTCCCAATATTCATGGCCGTTTCGTGAGCAGCAGGAGAGGAACTGATAAAAGATTGGAGGGGACCAGGAGAAGCGTCGACTATATTAAGAGGAAACCCCTGCCCTTAAACTCAGTCAGCTGCGCCATCGGCTTTGGGTCTGTGTCTCCGTGGAAAGTTATGTTCGAGAAGCTTTGGCTGGTGGATTTCGGATCTTGCATCTGAATATAGCGATGGCGTACATGTAAGTTGTGATAGTCTCAAGAAAAGGGTCTCTAAATGGAGGCCATTTTCGACATCAACCAACACCCTTGAAAACATGGAAACCTCTGCTAAATTTGGGTGCAAAAATGGTAAATTTTTCGCTTTTATTTGTTTTTGTGTAGTTCTACTCTCTCTCAGTCAACGGCCTGACTTTTTGTTAAGGAGGACCCGACAAAATTATGAAAAATGAAAAACTGTCCTACAATTTTCGGACAGGTTTTAGTTTTCCCCCATTTTTTTCCCTCTCTCCAACGGTATATCCACTCTTTCTCTACAACGAACACTTTTGGAGATATTCACAAGTTATCAAGAGAAAACTTTTTTGGTGAAAATTTTCAAATTGCGATACTCAGACCCGTGAGCACGTCTCGCATCGGGGAAAATAGTGTGGGGTCTTTTAGAGTCCCATAGGAGTAACAATCGCTGACCAAATCGCCGGGTTCGGCGAACTTTTCGGTCTGGACCATGACGATTTGGCGTGGAATGACCCATATAGTCTGATGCGTCCTGTGCGTTCGTTCGTTCGTCCGTCCGTCCGTTCGTCCGAGGACTTCCCGTGATCCGATCTTCACTAAATTTGGTATGCAGCCTCCTTGGGTGAACCTGAGAACCGCCCGGCGGCGCTGCTGCAGTGACGAAAGTGACATCCATTTGGACCCCAGACGGTGTTTCGAACAGTAGAGCCAAATACGATCAAAAGTTTAAATTTGAGTTACGTGTTTTTTCACACGTTTCACACGTTTTCGAGGATATTGATGACGAAAATGACACCCATTTTGACCCCAGACCTAGGTTCGAACACCGCAAGGGTCAAATACGACCAACGTCTGAAAATTCAGACGGACATTCTGACAGGCATATTCAGATAGGTGGTCTGAATCTCAACTCTAAATTTTCCTAACCCTGTTCCCAAAAATATTGGTCTTAAAATCCGAGTGCCACTTGCAAAAATTAAAGAAAAAACTGCTCTCCATTTCGTCAGAATTTTGGCCTTATTTTAACAGAGCTGCGTGTATTCGCTTCCAGAACACTTCGTTGGTTCCTGCTTGCCGTCGTGGCGCTGGCCTTTTATTCTTGGCAGGTGGATGCCAAATACTGCTGGGCGCTGTCTCACAATCCGAACGCTGAAGTTGCAGAAGTCTTCTGCAACGACAATCAGTGGCACAAGTAAGATGCTCAACGCGTTCAAAGTTTTACTTTTTTAACACATTGCACTGACGCAAGTATGCCGTTGCCGTGCCGATCTGACCGTTTCCGGATCCGCCTTTGTACTTCTTGACTTTTTCTTTTCCATGCAGCAAAATAGCCTACTATAAGAAATTTTTTAAGATTTTCTTTTGCATGTTGCAGAAACCAATTTTGCTGTGGCGTTAACTGCGGTTTTATGTGCTTTGGCTGTGAAAAGTGTTATGGTGACTGAAAAAACACCTCGCCAAAGAGCACACAATGATCGCGCAACCCCTCAACAGGGCACCACTCCGAAGGTAGAAAGGCATCGTCGTCCGTACACTATGCTCTAAAATAAAACAAACCTACGCAATCCCCTAAGTAAACATGTGTCTTCTTATTTTTATCACTACCATTTAAAGAAATATACATGTTTTTTTTTAACCGATGATCAGTGAGTTCCTCATCGTGCATGTTCGAAGATCTCAGGGCGCACGTGTATTCTCAAACTGAAAATCAAATAGTGTTCCCTCTCTCTGAGAGGTGAGACATAACTGTCTCACCGTGGTGATACTAAAATGTATCACCGAAAAAGGGTGAAACTACCCGGGTGGAAAGGACTATACTTTTATTTACTCGCGACGCTCGCTGGGGGTTCCGCCCCCACACCCCCGTTGACATGAAGTTGAAACGAATGTGACAAAATGTCACATTCCTTTGAGCAATTTGTCGCATTTCTTTCGATGCGAATTGGCCATAAATTAGCTTATTCCATTCAAACGAATTGTGACACAATGCTCAAAGGAAGGTGACATTTTGTCATTCATTTCCACGTGATGTCACTTTCTTGGGATGAGACTGTTATGTAAAAATTTGTCAGAGAAGACGAAAATTGCCCAAAGACTCTGCACCGTGCTTAGTTCGGTCCAAAAAATTTGGGGCCTTTCTTAAATCTACAAGGACTACCTTTGGCCCAAAAATAAGGAAATCGTCATCAGTCGTATACCACAATCGGACTTCTTTTTTAAAAAAATAAAAATGCCTCAGAGTTGAACTTCTTGTAAGGACCTCCCTCGTAAGACAGGGACCTCACCTAAAATCCCAGAATTCGTGCATCCTTGGGTTCAGCGTATCATGCCGCAGGCCATAAAAACTGCCTCTGAAGTTGGCCAACCAAACATCGAAACCGGCGTCCACCAGTGACCTTGCTGAAAATGGAAAAGAAAGGTTTTTTTTTAGGTAGTTTCCGAATCAACCTGTTGGTAGATTGGAACGTTCGAAATGACCCCCAATACCTCAAGTTTACTAGAGGGCTCGTCCCATTATTATTTATCCTGCATTCAAAAGTGTATACATAGTCTCAGCCATATAGGCCAAG